ACTTTCACTAAAGGGCGGTTAAAGTTGAAAAGGAGATAAAAGGCTGACGTATAAGAACGAAGAATAAAAACGTTTCCATTAGGTGTTTACATTAGAGCATCACAAAGGCAACGAGAAAATGTATTCATTATTAATAGCAGCCCTTAGTACATTAAACTACGTTATGAATTCCTCTTTCACGAGAAAACTTAATTTTAGAAAGTTTTTAAGTAATAACTTGTGCAATCTGTATTTCAACGATTTTTTTCTAACAAAATTAAGAAAAAAAAACGGATTTGTAATTAAAAAATTCGTTATTGATATTTTTTACACTTTATACTGGCTGTTCCGGCTTAACCCCACATTAAGAGTGATATTTATCTAAAATTTTGATTATAGCCGTTTTTGCAATATTTAAACTTTTTTGAAATTTTTTGAATTTGCATCTTCCTCTCCAAAAATCGATAACTACCATTTTTAATTATTTTGTAATCGTATTTGGGCATATGAAAAAGAAAGGTTAGAACTTTTCATTCGCGTATTTATAATTGGAAAAATAATTAACAAACGTCCAAAATTGTATTTATTACAAACATTTGTTTTTTTACTTTTTTATACTTTCTTATTCATTTTTTTATTGTTTTTTTTTTAATTGAATTTTAGAAATTTTTTTCCGAATTCAGTGCTTTTAATATTAACAGGTTTTGACATAAAAATTATTAAATTACATTTTATTATTTAAAAATTAAAAAAATTACCAATATGTGGTTGAAATTTTTACTATTTGTGAGTGCCAAAATTAGTTTATCTGATACGACTAAACCCCACATTGGAAGTTTTGTGAGTGATTTATTTTTATCTAAAATTTGAATGAAAATATTTTTTGAGGTGGCAGCATGTTATTTCAAAAAGAAAGTTATATTTTTATTGCGTTTTTGGATTACTCAAGTGATTTGAGAGTTTTTATCAGACTTTTTCTATACCTAAATTTAACTGTTTTTGAAATACCTATTTAGTTTTTGAATTTTTTTTTAATTTGCATCTTCCTCTCCAAAAATCGATAACTCTACCATTTTTAATTATTTTGAAATCGTATTTTGGTATAGAAAAATAAAAAGTTAGATCTTTTCATTCGTGTATTTATAATTGGAAAAATAATTAACAAATCTCCAAAATTTATGGTAACGTTTGGGAAACTTCCAATACCCGTAAGTGAATTTTTTTAAAAAGGCCCCAACTTTTTCTTGACTAAATGAAAGAGAATTTAATTCTGCATCGATCTGTATCAACATTCCCTATACCTAAATTTAATGATTTCCGAGTTATTCTGACTTTTTTTACAATGAAAGAAATTCATTACTATCCATGGTAGTTTTCGCCTAATTTGCCCTGGAAATATTTCTCACTGAAAAAACGCCAAGTTTTTTTTTCGCAAATGTGTTACTCTTTTCGTAAATACAAATTAAATTTATTTAATCTAAATTTGAATAACTTTGATATTCTATTTTTTTCTTATTTCTATGACAACCTATATGCTAAAGTAGCTAATGAATTGCTCACAATATCAAAAAAAGTTAGTATAACTTGAAAACTATCAAACATAGGTATAGGGAATGTTAATACAGGTCGAAGCAGAACTAAATTCTCCTCCATTTAGTGGAGAAAAAATTGGGGTGTTTCATTTAGAAAAATTGAGTTAAGGGTATTTGAAGTTTCCTAAACGTAAACTTACATTTTGGGGGTTTATTAATTATTTTTTGAAAGATCTAACCTTTCTCTCTCGTATACCCAAATACGGTTTCAACATAATCAAAAATGGTAGAGTTATCGATTTTTGAATAGGAAGATTCAAATTCAAAATTTTTTAAAAAGTGTAAATATTTCGAAAACGGTTAAACTTGGGTATAGGGAAAGTTAATAAAAAGTCTCTCAATAGTTTTCTTTAAGTAATAATAACAATTTCGCAAATACATTCAGATAAATACGCAAAAATTATGCACAGTAGCTCAGCAATAAGAGAAAATGTAAATCCTTAGTCGTCCCCCAATTACGTAATTAGTAATTCAAATAGAAGCAATTGCTTTTCCTTCATCCTAAATTAAGTCCAAGAGATCAACAACCATCCAATATAATCATGTAAATGAACACTATTTTAAGGCTGGCTTACTTAAACATCTTGCAAATTAGTGTTTTTAGTATTTATTAAATGACAGAAAAAAAATTAAGTATTAAATAAAAATGAGAATTGTTGTAAATAAATCGCTTTTACGAATTTCACCATTTCATGAACCGCCTATTTCAGGTATCTCAAGAATTCGGTTTCAACCGATTTGTGTGAATGAAAATTGGCCCATCCGATCAATAAAGGAATGGAATTTAAACAAGCCTATTTGCCTTTCTAAAATAATTACCCAATCCAGAGTAAAAAATACAATTACTATTATTAATTGCAGATGTATAACTAATGATATTAACAAAATTGAGTGAAGTGCAATTTGCAATTATCACATCCCTCGAGATGTTTTTCCATATTTTCCATTCTAAGACAGAAAATTAATCACGTTTATTTCATTCCTTCACAAAAACAATTTTTCTTGTTATAAAATAATAATTTATTATTCAATCAACTTTGCTAAAAACTGGTAACAATCTCGATGAAATCGCCAATTGTGTGCGAGTTGAGTTTTTGTTGACGAATGACTTTAATTCTACTGTGACATTCGTTATTTCCGCCAACCAAGAGTGCTACTCGAAATAAAAAATTTCCTCGATACATTTGTCATTCTCTCTCCTTTTATAGCCAAACCTGTGAAGATTTCTATCAAAAAATGCCATTTCATTAATACGAAAACTTAATTTATCATTTTATATTTGTTTTCCATTCACGCAACTCAAAATTTCCGAAGATTTAATTAAACCTCCAGGCCGTAAATCCTCTTTTGAATCTATGCTTTCAGAATTAATCCAAAAATTATTAATAAGCGGATTATACAGAGTGTTCCGTTTTTATTGTTACAAATTTAAACAGGTGATAGGGTATTCAATTCTAAGACAAAAGTTTTTTATAAACATGTAACGAAAAATGCTTGGTTAGAGAGCTACACCCCCTGGAAGGAGGCTAACATGTTTTTGCTAATATTTCAGAAACCATTTAAGATAAAATTAGAAAATTTGGTACAGATGATAACCTTTATACACCTAAACGAATTCAAACATCAAATGTCGAAATTTTAAATCAGGGGCGTACGAAACTGGGGGAGTTTAAGGTAAAAAAATACCCTATTTATTTTGGTTTTTGTTTCTCGGTACTTTCAGCAACAAAATCTTAAGTTCGATAGTTTATCACAGAAAAGACTCTCTTGTGTCGATACGACTTATTGTTTTTGAATAAAATTAATTTAAAATTTATGTTACACACCAATACAACATTTAAATACATCAGAATTTACAGAATAATAAAAGCAAGAAATTCATATTTTTTAATCAACTTCAACTAATTAACATTACATTACAGTAACAATAATAACATTAATTAAATGAATTTGCCTAAATCTAAAGGAGTTGTTCAAAGTGACCACCATTTTGGTCAATGCATAACTAAAGAAACTAAAGCCAAAATGGAAAGGGTATTTTTTTACCCTAAACCCCACCAGTTTCGGACGCCCCTGATTAAAAATTTCGACATTTGATGTTTGAATTCGTTTAGATGTATAAAGGTTATTATCGGTACCAAATTTTGTAATTTTATCTTAAATGGTTTCTGAAATATTAGCAAAAACCTATCAGCCCCATTTTAGGGGGTGTAGCTCCCTTACCAAGCATTTTTCGATACATGTTTATAGGAAACTTTTGTCTTAGAATTGAATATCCTATCACCTGTTTAAATTTGTAACAATAAAAACGGAACACCCTGTATATCATGACTAAGGCTCGGATTATATGCAAAATGCATATTTGTCATTAAGAGATATATGAACAAAATTGTAAGTTTTCTATGCATATCTAATGTTTTTTGATTAAAATAAGCCAATTAAAAAATGCATATTTTGCATATTTTGGCAACTTGGTGCATATTTTTGGAAATATTGCATATTTGTGCATATTTTCTTCAAATTAAAAATTTCAGTTAAAGTTAAAAATTGGACAGTTTAAGAAAAATAATCCAATTTCAAAATATTTTAATGAGAAAACAACCGGTAATTCGTAAGCCAAACTCAAAAAATTAGTATCCTGTTGAGTGTTTCCTTTTTAAATTCGTTTTATACTGGGTGACTATAAAGTATTGAACCAAGCGGTTTTTTTTACACCATTTGTTTCCAAAAAATAATAATTAATATAAATTAAAGTAATATAAAAAAAATATTTTTTTAAGAAAAAAAATTTGTTTTGTTTTTGGGTTATTCGATTTTTGTTGTCTAAATTACGATATACATATGTAAAAAAAAATAGTTTAATATAAAGTAGATAGTTGTAATCCCTTAGATCTTGACCTTCATGAGAAAAATGTTTTTTTTTTGGTGGGTTGCCTTTTAAAAAAATAATATTTTTGTAGAACTCAAAAACAACAAAATAATTTTGAAAAACTTTATTTTTGATAAAACATCACATGTCTATAGAACTTTATAATTCATCAATTAGTTTTTTCAAAAAATAAATACTTTAAGCAAAAAACGTGATGTGATCTGAAAAGTACAGATTTGTTAGAAAGGGTTAATTACTAGGTTATTAAAATGGCTTTTCTCATGCCCAACCAATTTATTTATTCTTTCATTTATCGTTCAAGATGACGAAAATACAAAGTTTAGTGTATTCGAGCATAAAAATTTATCCCAACTTTGATTTTTTATTGTTAAAAATTTTGCATATCGATGCATATTTGGCATATATTGGAGCATATTTTTTAATATTTTGTGCAGATTTTTGTAAAAATACGTGCATATATATGCGCATATTTTACGAATTTTTCGTGCATATAATCCGAGCCTTAATCATGACAATTAAAATAAGGCCGAAAAACTTACCGTTTCCGTGGACGTCTTGTATACCAATACCTCGAAGAGACCAATTTCTGCAGAACCATGCTGTGCATGAAACTTTTTATCTACGTTTCATTCATTGTTGACCTGAATTCTTTGTATCGATTCATTTTTAGACCAAATTTTCAATGATTTACAAAAATATTTATAATTGGTGGATGCCTCGGGTCTGACCCTAATTCAATTAAAAAGAAAAAAAATATATAGAGTGATGTAATCTAAATCTCTGATCTAATGACCCAACTCTCACAAATAATTAGTTTGAGGATAATTAGAGAAGTCTGCGTCGTAGAAATTTATATCAATTGTCAAAAAGATATAAATCTAGATTATGGCCTTTGTAATAAACTACTAAGAGCTAACATTGGGGAATAATGGGAAGCGATTCAATCTTATCCAGACTTGACAATCAAACAAATTCGAAGCATTAACAAAAAAAATAGAATTTGACTCTTCGATTGGTCGAAATTTCGGGCAAAACCACAAACCGACACTCGTCATCGGGATTGAATATCCCACCGTTCCCGGAAACGTACTGAGAAGGATTTACATGTATCCTGGAACGTTCGGTAAGGATCGGGAACTCCGGGCAGTTTCCGAAAGGACCCGATCGATAAAGCATTCTAAATTTCTGAGCGAATCATTGCAAATTAATACCATAAAAACAGTTCCCATTCTCTATATCGGGCCATTATTTATTTACAATTGTTCGATTCATAATGTCCAAATGGGGACGTTAACCCACTTTTTGTTTTGTGTTATGACTTTTATCACTGGAATTATTATGGAAATTAGGTTATTCAAGACGATATCTTGTGTTTAAAAAAAATATGGAAGAAGATAATAATGTTTAATAGTCAAATAGGATTCCACCCTATTAAAAAGGGAGTAGCGTAACAGATGTGGACTCGAAATGAGATTACTATTGGAAAGATAAATGAGAGACCTCAAATCCCCCTGCTGTAATTTTGATGTTCCAAATAAAAATTAAAGAAAAAATTTGATTGGTCGAAGAGATAATTTTGCTTGACAAATTGTGAAACATTTGTTGCTCAAATGAACAAAAAATGCCCAATGCAAGTTTAAAGTTTTTGAATGGTCGTGAATACTTTTATCTTTGACGACTGTTAAAAAGAAAACGTAAAATACAAACTTTCCTGAGATAAATCAGTCTTTTCAGAAGCAAAACATCAAGCTTATTTCTACTAAAACAAATAACACAAAAGTTAATTGTGCAAATTTACTTGTAATTTTAAGGAAGATGAAAAAAACTGAGAAAATGTCAGATAAAATAAAACACCAAATTGTAAAAAAAACAATTTTTACAGAAAAACTTGCAAAAAAACAGACTTTTTCCAAAATTGCTTAAAATATTGGGAAATATTTCTAGGAAATACAAAACTACAAAAACAAACTTGACATTTTTATTTACACATTCCAAGCATTCCGCACCTGAAAATACAAAATTTCACCCCAAAAGTTCGACAAACTATCGATTAAACAAAGAGTAAAAATAACATTCCCAGTAGCTGTGACAAACTAATGGAATTAAATTCTTCAAATTTGTTAAATTTAATAAAACTCGCAACTGAAACTGATAACATAATATAAACTTTACGTTACCCACAAAAAAACTTTTAAAATAATTATTTTTCACCCATTTCAGTTTTAAGTGTGGTATTTTTTTTTTCGTAAGTGAATTAGTAATTAGATTATTTTTTTTTCGAATTCAAGAAAAGTATATTTTTTTGTGTAGTACCTAAAATTATTTTTAACCATACAGTATGTCCCAAAAATAAGTTACGATACAAACTTATGCTCTTTTTTAAATGAAACACCGTATGTTTCTTTGTATTTTTGGATGTAGCCTTTTAAAACAATGTTTTTACGCTAAAATTTTATTAGTCGATTTCGCTTAGTTTTGTGCTTTTGATTGAAAAATCTGCTAAAACGTTTGTAAAAACAACCAGATGATTTTTCTTTCGGCTCAAAACATGCTTAAACTCTCCAAAGAAGCAAAAATAATTTTAGTTTCGTGATAGTTTATTAAACAAAAACACGATTAGCCCGTCACACCAAACTTTTATTTTAATAGCACAACGCGTTTCGACCACAAAGTGGTCATCCTCAGGTGAGAATAAAACTAACTAATTTAACAATGGTAATGCCTTATATACTAATTTTCCGACTTTCACTTTCCCTACCCTCAACTAACGAGTAGAGGGGAGAAAAGGGAATGGGGCCGTTGTCTGAATTCATGAGATTATATCTATTTTT